CTTTTGGACTTGAAAAAACTTTTTCTGCTCAGAAAGGAAATGTTCAAACTGTTCCTGTAAACTCATTATGCTATTCGACCATTTGTATCGATAGGTAGAATCTTTTTTGATTTTATAGTTCATTCGAGTTCGATAATTGAGACGAGCTGTTCCTTTTTGTTCTCTTGGAATTTGATTCCGATGGGATCTATTGAATAGATCTCTTAGACTAGAGTCGTTTTGAATGCATTGATATTGCCGAATCGATTTCATTCGATTTTTACTAAAAAAAGAATGAGTCTCCTTTAATTCAGCCCTATCGTTTAATATCTCATTCAATAATTTTGTTTGATCTAATCCCAAATCATTATTAAGATAAAAAGAAAATTCCTTCTGATACACCATATCTGGTTCGCTTATTACTAGAGTCCATAGATCTGCTCTTCCTTGCAAGATCTCTTCGACTTTCAAATAGAATCGCTGAACTAAACTAAAGAATAGATTTTTTTTGGCCGGATCTGATGAAATAGAATGAATTGTGACAGTCTTTTGTAAATAAAGAATGATTTTGAATAAATCAAGTATTTCTTTCTTTTCCGCTCGCCGGACAAAACAAAGAGGTTTCTTCGCAAAGGAAGGGGCCCTCTCAATCGGAGTCGACGTTATATATAGTTCTGAACATCTCTCCGTGCAAAAAGAACCAAGGAATCTTGTCCGAAAATGTTCCATTTTTTCCGGAGACCGCTCTTTCTCGCGTTCCGTTTCAAGAAAGGAAGGATCCCAAGAACTTGCTCGTTCTTTTCGTTGTTGAATATTTTTTTGATGAATCAATCCAGAATATTCCGAATCCTCATTCTGAAGGGACTCAAACAGGTCTATGGGTGGATCAGAGGATCTTTTGAGTTTACTCGAAATCTTTCCTTGAACAAAATGCGATCTTGATCTTGTGGAAGCAGACTGAAGATTTGACCATATATTCCGCCCCGTGCTAAAAAACCGATCCCTCATATTACTAAAAAAAAAATAGGATTCGGGCCTATCATCATCTAGATAATATACAAACGGAAACTCAAGAGATTGTAGCGCCTTTTCTTTGAATAAGATATCAATTCCGGCAACCATTTCATGAAAACTACGATTCTCGATCAAGTTCCTCCACCGCACTTTTGTTATTGGCAGAACCTGAGTCTTTTCTGTCGGTTTCAGTAAATAATTTTCAAATAGAGTTTTTCCTTTTGGAAAAGAAAGGAGCAACATACTCATTTTAGTTAATCCACGGGCTTGATCACTAGTGTCAGTAAATGATAGAGGAAAAAATCTTTTAAAATAGAGGTTTTTTCGTTCAACCATATTTTGAGTGTTCATGCGATATATAAGGATCCCGACTACAACTACTATGACTCCCTTGATGGTGAAATATGGATTTCTTGTTGAACCCGGTAAATTGCGTGAAAGTAGGAGACGCGGATCAAAGAGTTTTAAAAACCGCTCTTGGCGGAAAAAAATGTGAATGAAGGATCCCACTGAATAAAATTGGGTCCATGATTTAGACTTATTGATCTCTCTCAATTCGAAAATACCAAATTTGCGATTTTGTTTTTTCATGCCTGTGTAAACCTCCCGAGTTTTTTTAGTTTCTTTTACTTTAATTAGATTTTATATTTTAAAATATTTATTTTTGAAATTCAAACGTGTTTAGTCTTTATTATGATACCAGTTATGTATGGATTTCGATGACTATGAAATTTTTTTCCTTATATGTTTCTTTTACACTACACATTCTGCAGACATGTTGAATTCTGTATATTTTTGTCAATTCAAAAATGCTGATTACTAAATTGCAACGATTTCGATTTTTTTATATTAGAAATTAGAACATTTTCCAAATCCTATGTGGTCCTCATTAAGCATCCATGGCTAA